ACCCTTATCTCAGGCCCTACAATAATCACAAATTTGGCCTTTCACACTGAAAATGTTCATTCCTTGGCTACAACTTATCTGACAAAGGATATCATTCTTCAGTTTATCTGTGTCGAGTGTACATTGTCAAGCAAGTGAAGTTTAATGAATGGATTTTCCATTCAAAACTGGATTTTCATCTTCAAACTGCCCTTATCTCATGATATCCTCACCAGCTCATCTGGCACTTCTTGGACTCTTCCAAGGATTCAATAGCTTGCTGTTTCTAATGTCAGCATACTCTCATTTGCTTGCTTCCCTTAAGAGATCAACAGTACTTCTGGTTCTACTTCAACTGATCCTACTCAATAGATCCACTACAGTCACCTAATTCCTTAGCACCAATAGTTGTTCTTTCCTCATGAAATTGATTTTCGTTAGCTGATTTCCATAATATATTAGTAACATCACTCAATTCATCCCTATCAATGAATCCTCAACTATCTCTCTCCTCTCCGTATAGCCTGTCTCCTACAACTCCTCATTCTCTCCAGCAGTACCGGTTACTTCTTTAGATTTATCTCATACATCACCTAATCATCATATGAACATTTTGCCTGCTTCTCATCAATCTGCAGTAGCTGGTAGCTCCACTAGCACAACTTTACACACTTATCCCATGTAAACAAGATCAAAGACTGGTACTAACCTATCAAGGATATACTGCCTATCCAGCTATGGTATCCTCAGCTACTATCTTGTCAGAACCAAAGTCTATTATTGAGGCTTTTCTTTTTTGAATGGAAACAGCCATGGTAGCTGAATACAAGGCCTTATCAAACAACATACATGGGAGTTGGTTCTATATGAAGAAGGGATGAATGTAGTTGGGTAGCAAGGGTTTAAAAAACAAAATTGAACTATGATGGTACTCTTCAAAAGTATAGCCAGGCTGGTAGCCAAAGACTTCCAGCAAACTGCTGGCCTGGACTACTTGATACTTTCTCACCAATGGTCAAAGCAGCCACAATAAGAGTATGTTGTCTTTAGCAATTCATCAGGATGGGTAGTTTCAACAGTTGATGTAACAATGCCTTTCTAAATGGTGAATTGACAGAAACATCTTTATGTTACCACTTGAAGGCTATACTGAATTTGAGCCACAGTACCCATCCATACGGTTTACAATTACAAAAGGCCTTATATGGCCTTAAACAATGTCCTAAAGCTTGGTTTGATAAGCTCAATCGTCTTACTTGCATGAGTTTGTTAACTCTATCTCTAATGTGAGTTTGTTTTACTAAAACAGGATTTTGTTACAATGTTCTACTTGTATATGTAGATGACATTTTGGACAGTGGAAATGATGATCAGCTCATTTCCAAGTTTGGTTGTTGATTTGAATGCCAAATTTGTTCTTAAAACTTTGGAAGCATTTCATATTCCTAGGGTTTGAAGTTATTAGAAATTCCTCTGGTTTGCTTCTCACATAGCCAAGTATGTCCTGATTTATAGTAAAGGCAAGTGGCAGATTCCAAGCCATGTTCTATACCTATGACCACTGGTCTTAAACTTGGCATAGAACGGTGTAAGGTATTTGACCAACCTACGTTGTATAGAAGTATTATGTGGTTTACAATATCTGACTCTGTCAAGGCTAGACTTGGCTTTTTGCTGTCAATAATTGAGCCAGTTTCTGCAGCACCTAATGAGATTCACTAGACAGCATGCAAACGCATTCTGATGGTATGTTAAAGGTACATTAAATCAGGCATTTTGTTCTCTAACAGGAAAGCTTTTGTTTTAGAAGCCTTGTGCAGTTGCTGATTGGGCTGGAGATAGTTGGATAGAAATCCACTAGTGGGTACTATTTGTTTAGGAGGAAATTTGGTGCATGGTCATCTAGGAAACACAAAGGTAGTCTCCTTGTCCTCAACTGAGGCTGAATACAGGTCCCTAACCAAGCTGCCACTGAAGTGGTTTGGATTCAAACTTTTCCAAGGACTTTGGCATTCACACAAGTCACATTCCATAATTTGGTGTGATAATATGAGTGCTGGGGCACTCTCTTCTAATCTTGTTTTTAATGCAAGAGCAAAGCACATTGAAATAGATGTGCACTTTGTTAGAGAGTTGGTGACTAGAAAGTCATTGATGTTCAATACATTTCTACAAAATTTCAGATGGTAGATGTGTTTACCAAGGCTCTACCAAGTTCCAGGTTTTGTAATGCTTAGGACAAACTGAATGTCACTGATACATTCCAAATGAACTGCTCATACTAATCTTGACAAATCTAATTCATGATACTAAGGTGCTACAGTGCCTTACAAGATATGCTATGTTTAGTTCACTTTGTTTGTTGGGAACTAGCTGGCCTGCTCAGTAATAAGAATGTCAATTTTTTATCTAGAACATATTTGCCCTCCTAAACTGGTGCCTTAAGTGAGGATGCTTATTAGTAATGTGTTACCTTATGAAAGTGAATGAAAAAATTGTCAAAAAAAATCAATGTCAGGATTAGTAACACTGACACTAAAGGTTGCATGTATATTGAGGATCTTGCTTACGGAAATATTGATGTTTGTGTTTCTTTGTCTAGCTGAGGAAGTTTTGGTCACAGGAGAATATTGTGTTAGCATCTTGGTTCACACAGTTTTACCATTTTAGTTTATGGAGGATATGTGTATGTTGAATATATTTTACAGGGTTGATTTTGTAAGCTTTTAGAAGTATGAAAGTTGTTTTTTGTAAATATGTAAAGCAATATAAAACTTCATCGTTTAGTGCTTATGTTTTTAGTATACCGTTTTATCTGTTATATAAATCAATGTAACTACTTTTTCATTTAATAAAAAGAAGCATTCTCTCCCTTCTGTTTAGCTAAAGTGTTCGCTACTGTTTCCCTCGTTAATTTGCGTGTTCAATTTTGGTTCTGGACCTTCTTGATTTTTCTGCAAAAACTTCACTATAAACCATTAAGAAGATGTCAATTTCTATTTACATCCTAAAAAAGGGTCATTTATATTATTCCAATTAATAACTTTTTGGTTGTATGTACCATGTTTTTATTTCATAAATAACAGATAGCTACGTAGTGTTAAAACTATAATATAATTTATGATAAATAAACATTGTTTCATTGATGGTATTATATAAAATATATCTAACATTTCCTATTTTTTAGGGTTAATTTGTTTACCTCCCCTTATCCCCAGTCTAATTTTAAAAAAGGGCATGGATGAACCAGGAATTAATTTCCCTAGTGTAATTCTATAACAGGTAGAGCGAAACCAGAAATTAATTTTGTAAGGCTGACAAAAAGTATTAAATATTTATTAAACAATATAGCTCTTTCGAATGCGAGAAATTTGTGTTAGTAAACATAGTACATATTCAGTATACTGCAAAAATATATTTTATTTTAAAAGTGAAGAAAAATTGAACACAATACCCGTGTGAAATTGAATTAACTAGGATCTTGTGGGAAGAGAACAAATTACTTTTTAATCTAGAAAATTAAAAATAAGGGAAGAAGGGTAGGGAAAAAACTGAAAAAATAATTATAAATGAATTGATTCAACCCAAAGTGTTCAAAATTAGAGAATTAAGAGATATTAAAAAAAAAATTATCAAATTAACTATAAGTTTAAATTTAATTACAAATCTAAGTTTAGGAAATGTGACCCTAACCCTTGTGCTTTTGCGCGTTTTTGTAGTGACACCTACTAGTTTTTGGAAATGCGACCCTAACCCTCATTTTTAGTTTAAAGAAAAAAAACGTTTTTACTATTCATCTAGATTCAATCAATCTAATTTTAACATCCAAATATCAACAATGTTTTAGAGTTAATAATTTTTTTTAAAGTTAAATTGATGACATTATTGATAAATTTAAAGGTTGAATTAATAACATTTCAAAACTAATGAATACTCACTACAAAAGGCTAAACTCTTGAGAGTTAAGGTCACATTTTCAAAATCATTTCAAAAAGGTCAAACATAGAGGTTCTACTATAAAAAAAAAAACCTTTTAAAACACCTTCATATTGAAGAACTCTCGCTAACCTCTTCGTTTAGTACCACTGACATCCCTTAGATTTTCTTAGTTATCGGTAACTTTCCTAATAGGGTCGGTTAGCAAAAATTAGACAAAAAAAAACTCAAGGAAGACCAAAGATACTTCCAGAAAGATGAAGGGTTTTTAATTCTGAAATCGTATCAAAAGTTCAAAACTCATTGGAGATTTAGCGAGATCAGCACCAAGAATTTTAATAAAACTGTCCTCACTCTTATTATTAATGTTGCCGGCGAAATTGGATGGTGACCAGAAGTAGACAACACATGAGCGCTGAGTCAAGACACGTTCCTTTAACACATGGGTGAGGCAATTGTTTAATCTTCTGTAGATGGGTCCTAAGAATAATACTTCGCTTTCTTTTCTTCTAGTTGCATCTTTCAATTGTTTGTTGATTTTGAGAATATAATATCTTCTTATTCGATCCTAAAGTTCAGATACATGCTATAGAAAGAATGTAAATAAAGAATTACATGTTTCGGGTTTATTTTAATCTCATTGAAAATGAAGTTAGTGATAAAAGAGAATCAGACCCTGCTATTAAGACAAAAAAAAGAGATTATGAACAGTGTTATCTGATAATGATATGACTAATCATGGATTCGTAAGTCAAACAACAATTAAATAATTAATTAATTTAATTATTTAGTCGAGAAGAAGAAGAAGAAGTTATCTATTATTTGTAGCACTTTTAATTTTGTTTTATTTTTTTTTTTCCCAATATCAAGTGTAATGAAATTTATAAATAATTCAAACCAAATTTATAATTATTCATCTTTTATATATTATTGAATCTTTCTAATTCATTGCACTAGATATGTTACTACCATAGTTGGAAAGCCCATAAATATAATATTATGATAATTTACTTCTTGTTCCAAATTCTGTGAAGCAGAAAGAAAACTGAATGCAGAAAGAAAAAGAGAGAGACAGTTAAACTTACGCGATTGAAGACCATGAAACCGAGGTCTAAATCAATGGCATCGAAAGTGACAGTCTTCGCATGGCCGCCAAGGTAGTCTTCCTTCTCGTAAAGCACGACATCAACGCCTGCTTTTGCAAGAACAAACGCCGAAAAGTCCACTAATCCGCCGCCAACCACCGCCACTCTCATCTTCTTCGACATTTTGCTCACACCTTCAAAAAAATTCAAGCTTCATTAACCCCTTGGAGGTCATCAAGTCACACGAAAGAAAAGCAAAAGTGATATAAATTCTTAATTTTGTGATTAATTTTGATTATGTAATACTATAATTTAAAGCCAATAATATCACAAAATTCGTTAATTAATCTTTGCTATGATATTAATTTTTAGAATTATTTTATTATTATCTTTTTAAAAAGGTGTATCTTACGATACGATATGATACACGATTCGAAAAATTAGATTTTCGATACATGATACAATATGCGATTTTACAACCATGGTTACCTTTAGTCCATCCTCATGGGAGCCATAACCTGAAATTAAAAGTAAAAAAAATTACTGAGATGATCTGTATCAAAGGAGCTAACTAGTGTATATTCTGTGACTTTTTCCTTCCATTAGATAAAATGCTTACCCTGATAAGCTCCGCAAAACCAAATTCCTCTCTTTCCCTGAATACTTTTAAGCTCAAGTGAAGCTTTTGATGCAGCAATAGATGGGACTGGATGACCAGTTGTCCACTGGAGCAATGTATGTTCTGGCTTACGTTCCGGATTGAGTGTTACAAGGAAAGGTAAAGTGGTTTCACAAAGGTTCTGCAAGGTGAATTAATAACTAGAGCATTTAGACATCAAAAGAGTGATTCATTGGCAGCATTACAGAAGGTGACAGTTATCTAACTCCATAAACTACAAGCTCAATTTACAGAAGACATATGTTCCAAACCTGAAGCACATTGAGCCAGTAAGTCAGGCATACTTTGCTGTCTGTACTTCCAAGAAAGTTCCAAGCACTCCATGCTGCTGGGTTTTGGGGCATAAAACTTTTGTCACGATGGAGGAAAATATCACTGCCATAACACGTTAAGAAATGATTTCACATTTTGTGTAGCAGATTACAAGAGTTGGCTATTTTATATCAGTTTAAGCATTCACCTATTCTTGATGATTCTTCAAAAAGTAAACGGAAGAAAAATTTCCGATGGTAATGGAAGACACTGTACCTGTAGACATACTGGAATGCACCAAGTACTCTCGATTCATCAAATGTAGCTTGGCTTCCGAGTATTCTCAACGCATCTGGAGCATGAACAGCCATTATGCAGCCATTATACATTTCTTCGGAACCATCTCCACATACTACAGTGCAACCTGCAACAACATATTCCTTTCGTTATTCAGAAAAAAAGGCCGGGTAATATATTCACTTTTCAAAAGCTTTCATGTGAAGGGTTGCGATAAAAATTTAAGGAATTGAATAACTAACCTTCATCATCAGCTGACACAACAGAAGACACCTCACAATTAGTTCTTATTCGACAACCCCAGTTCTCAAGTCGTTCTCTGACCTGATTTTAACATTGGCAGTTCCTCAAGTTGGACATTCTTGAAAAAAAATATGCTTCCATAAAGATAATGAAAATCTGGAGTGTTTATTCATGGAAAAGAAAGACACCTTATTGACATAAGAATGTGAACGCCATCTGACAGTCAGCCATTGTGGGCGGCCGAAGAGCTGAAGTAGATGGTGATTGCGGCAAAATGAAAGAACAGAGAAAGCAGAGAAGCTCAATACTCCTTCAGAGGGGCACGACCATATCGAACCACATATTGGAATCTATAAAATTGCAGAATTATAATACTTATTATTATAAAGTAACAAAGAGCATTATCATTAGAATGGAGTGTGAAAGATTAAGGATATGACAAAATACAGTGCTTCAGCAGTCTCACAAGATAAGCCTTCTGAAATAACTCCGAGTAGCCCCGCGACTTTACAAACTGCCCCAAGGTCTGATTGCGATCAATGTCTGGATTGTTTTCGAGCTCTCCAACATAACTGCAGTTACAAAAGAAAAGTTTGAGCACAAAGCCTTAACATAGTAAACTTGCTAGAACATAGTTGAAGAAAATAGTAGATGACCTGAGAACATCATTCTTAAACTGGATAATTTCGCAAATCATTTGCCAAAAGTATGGATTGAGTATATTCTTCTTCTGTGCAAACAAGCTGGAGAGACCATTTCTGCTACCCCATTCATAGCCGCGGCCTTTGTCTAAGCTCACTGCGAATGACATATCTGATATCTCCATATCAACTCCAAGACTCTCAAAGAACTCCATCATATTTGGATATGTTACCTGTCTCATCACCAACATTCAATAATCATTACTTGAAAACACTACATATAAAGCATGTTCTTCACAAGGATTGAAGTGGGCTCAATTCTTCTTCTATGAATGTCTTCGACTTGATAAAAAATGACACCCGAAAAGCACATTATGGCCATATCAACCAGAAATGGTTGGAAGAAAAACCTTTCAGATTATTAATTGGACTCATATTGTTCATTATTCAGTTCGGTTTCTATAATTCCTATAACCCTGTAGAAATTTGTATTAATTTATATAATCAAACGTCATTTTGCTGGCCCATTAATAAGGAAAATTATTTTAAAGGACCTTTTCTTTTGACAACTTACAAGCTGACCTCTTTAAAACTGGTTTAGTATATGAGACTTTCATCCAGTTTTTTGTTTTCTATTTTTACCCTCTCCGCAACTTTTCATGCCTTCGCTCTAGCGGTGCTCGAGTGAATTCTCTTCAGCGTTAGGATGGCTTTCCTTAACTGCTAGAATAAAGAGGGTAAAAATTTGAAAAATTACATTTTCTTAATTGGTTTAATATATGAGACCATGCCTACAATGGTGGTTGGAGAAAGTCACTTTAATGCTTGAGTGGTTTCTCTCTAACGCTAGAGTGGCTTTCCCTAATTGTTAAGAATGAAGAGGTTCAAATAACTAAAAAAATAAAAAAATAAAAAAAAGGGATGAAAGATCTTATCCATATATTGAGTATGTTGAATATATTTTATAGGGTTGATTTTGTAAGCTTTTAGAAGTATGGAAAGGTTGTTTTTTGTAAATATGTAAAGCAATATAAAAACGTTATTGTTTAGTGCTTATGTTTTTAGTATAACAGTTTTGTCTGTTATATAAAGAGTAATATTATGCTTACTCACCATCTTACTATTCTTTGTAAATATAACGCATAGTACGGGTACTATGTAAAATTTTAACAAAGGTAATAAAGCGGTTAGTAAAACTCGTGAGTAAGCATAGTATTTCTGGTTATATAAATCAATGTAACTACTTTTGACATTTAATAAAAAAGAAGCATTCTCTCTCTTCTGTTTGGCTATAGTGTTCAGCTACTGTTTCCCTCTCTCAATTTGGGTGTTCAATTTTCCTTCTGGACCTTTCTTGATTTTTTTGCAAAAACCTTCATGGTATCAGAGCTTATGACCAACGTCTATGCCTCAATCGAATCCTGAATCTTCAAACTCTATTTCAAAATCAGAAATCGAACAAACTTGTGCTAGAAATGGCACAAATCCTAGTGTTTAGTCGTCTCTACCTACCATTTCTATCAAGCTTGGAGAGAAGAATTACGGTCACTGGCGCTCACAAATTCTCCCAGCTTTAGCATCTCATGACCTCGATGGCTTCATAACGGGTGAGAATGTTTGTCCACCTATGCTTGTTATTGAAAAATCCAATGATTCTGAAGAATTTGTAAAAAGGCCTAACCCTAAGTATTTTAGCTGGAAAAGAGTAGATCAATGTCTAGTAAGTTGGTTGTTTTCGTCAATATCTGAAGGTATGTTCAGACATGTAGCAAAATGTGTGAGTTCATATGAGATCTTGAATACCTTGGAGTTACATTTTCAGTCTTTTTCGAAGGCTAGGACATTGCATTTAAGGAACCTATTACAAACTACTAAGAAAGACTCATTGAGCATCAACGAATATGTCCTAAAAATGAAGGAATTAGGAGATGAAGTCTAAGTGATGAGGAGATTTTGTTGTATATTCTGGATGGGCTTGGACCAGAATATGATGCAGTAGTGCAAACTTGACTTACAATAGTAACTCAGCTAGTATTCAGGAAGCTCAATTCATGCTACACAAACATGAGATAAGGCTAGAAAGACAGCAAAGTAGCCTAACCAGTTTTCATGAACATATGACTTCTACCCAGCTTGCTTCTAGACAAGATCCAAGTAACTCTCATACATCTACGTTTGTACCAAATACTCCATCTGAAGTCAAGCCTTCAATGTCAAACTATTCACCTCAAGGTTCAAGTTATAGTTTTCCTTCTAGTGCAAATACTAATACTCCTACAGGAGCTTATCCCACAAGGTTAACCTTTGGTTTTGGTAACAGTAGTTTTCAAGGACAAAATTTTAGCAGACCCTACTATTCACCTAATACACAGCATTTCTTTGCTGGAGGACCTCAATTCAACAACAATATAGTAAAAGGAAGAGGCAGGGGGTAGAGGTTACTTCAAACCAAAAACTAATATGTCAGGTATGTGGAAAGACAAGACATTCTGCCATGTAGTGTTATCATAGATTTGATCAAGAATATCAAGGCTTTGTTGCTGCTAATTACAATCATCCACCATAGTCAAGTAACTACATTCCCTCAGTATTTTCATCAACCACTTTTGTTGAAGGATCAGATACTCCAGCCCAGACCCTTCTTGCTGCAAATCTCAATTTTTCTGCTTATAATAACCCTCACATACCTAATACCTCCTTTGTCTCTTTTCATGATCACCCAGCTTCTGGATTTCCATAGATGGTTCTTAATTCTGTTGTACCCTATCCATCTACACTAAATAGTCAACATACTTCTACACCTACTTATCATAACACCACAGTTGATACCCCTGGGAACTTTGCACCAAGAGGTCTTCAAAACACTCTAGTAAATTCAGCTCCCATTGTGCAAGTTATAGCTACTCCACAAACTCTAAGTGATCAGTCCTGGTACATGGACTCTGGTGCTTCAAATCACATGATAACTGATGGATCAAACTTAGTGGGTAAGACTTCTTATCCTGAAAATTCTAAGGTGCAAGTTGGTAATGGATAATCTCTTCCAATCACTCACACAGGTATGCTCTTAATTCCATCCTTTGATACTCATAAACTTATTCATCTTAGAGATATTCTCTTTGTTCCTCAAATTGCAAAAAATCCATTAAGCATCTCTCAAATTACTAGAGACAATAATGTATTTGTGGAATTTCATGCTAATTATTGCTTGGTAAAGGACAAAAACAGTAAAGCTATTCTGCTTCAAGGCACTGTTAAGGATGGATTGTATTAGCTTGATCTTTGTTATTTTGCATATCCAATTTCAGACTGTCTTAGCTCTTCTACTGCAGCTTTCCTGTCCTCATCAATAGAACCTACTAGTTCAGCTTCACATAATGTTAGGAATAAACATGCCACTCATTTTAGTAATGCTAGTCATAGTCCTCATACTATTTGTAATTCTGATGACAAGCTGAATAAGACTACAAGCTTGGACTTACCTCTATTATGGCATGCAAGACTAGGGCATCCTAATGTTAGAACTCTTCATGCTGTCTTAGAAAAGTTGAATGTAAAAAAGTTCTTGACAAGCAATAAAACTTTCTTTTGTCAGGCATGTCAGTTTGGGAAATTACAACAATGTCATTTTCCTATTTCTTCTTCTAAAGCTACTGTACCTCTAGAGCTGGTTCACGTAGATCTGTGGGGTCCCACTCTCATAATTTCTAGAGAAGGATATATAAGTATTATATTATCTTTGTTGATGACTTCAGTCGTTTTACCTGAATCTACCTTTTGTAACTCAAATCTAAGGCTTATACAACCTTTGTCCAGTTTCGCTGCTTTAGAGCTTTCACTAGTTATTTACAACATTATGGCATACAATTTAGACATTCCTGCCCCTATCTTCATCAGCAAAATGGCAGGGTGGAAAGAAAACATAGATCCATCATAGTGTTTGGACTGTCTCTCTTAGCTTATGCTGGAATGCCTTTAGCCTATTGGTGGGCAGCATTTAGTACAACCACTTATCTTCTTAACAGATTGCCTACATCAGCTCTTAAGTTTGTGTCACCCTATGCTGTTCTGTTTAATAAAGAACCTAACTATGACCATCTCAAAGTATTTGGGTGCAGTTGCTACCCTTATCTCAGGCCCTACAATAAGCACAAATTGGCCTTTCACACTGAGAAATGTTCATTCCTTGGCTACAACTTATCTGACAAAGGATATCATTGTCTTAGTTTATCTGGTCGAGTGTACATTGTCAAGCAAGTGAAGTTTAATGAAGTGGATTTTCCATTCAAAACTGGATTTTCATCTTCAGAACTGCCCTTATCTCATGATATCCTCACCAGCTCATCTGTCACTTCTTGGACTCTTCCAAAGGATTCAATAGCTGCTGTTTCTAATGTCAGATACTCTCATTTGCTTGCTTCCCTTAAGAGATCAAACAGTACTTCTGGTTCTACTTCAACTGATCCTACTCAAATAGATCCACTACAGTCACCTAATTCCTTAGCACCAATAGTTGTTCTTCCTCATGAAATTGATTTTCGTTTAGCTGATTTCCATAATATATTAGTAACATCACTCAATTTCATCCCTATCAATGAATCCTCAACTATCTCCTCTCCGTATAGCCTGTCTCCTACAACTCACTCATTCTCTCCAGCAGTACCGGTTACTTCTTTAGATTTATCTCATACATCACCTAATCATCATATGAACATTTTGCCTGCTTCTCATCAATCTGCAGTAGCTGGTAGCTCCACTAGCACAACTTTACACACTTATCCCATGTAAACAAGATCAAAGACTGGTACTAAACCTATCAAGAGATATACTGCCTATCCAGCTATGGTATCCTCAGCTACTATCTTGTCAGAACCAAAGTCTATTATTGAGGCTTTTCTTATTTTTGAATGGAAACAAGCCATGGTAGCTGAATACAAGGCCTTATCAAACAACAATACATGGGAGTTGGTTCTATATGAAGAAGGGATGAATGTAGTTGGTAGCAAATGGGTTTTTTAAAACAAAATTGAACTATGATGGTACTCTTCAAAAGTATAAAGCCAGGCTGGTAGCCAAAGACTTCCAGCAAACTGCTGGCCTGGACTACTTTGATACTTTCTCACCAATGGTCAAAGCAGCCACAATAAGAGTAATGTTGTCTTTAGCAATTCATCAAGGATGGGATATTCAACAGTTGAATGTGAACAATGCCTTT